AAGAGTGCAATCGATTTCACTTGCAAAAACTTAGAAAAATTATGTTTTAAAAAGCTTGTGTTAGTACGAAAAAGTAATGCAAATAGTTTTTCATGGTTTGAGCAACTACGTCTTAAATACTTGATGAAGATTTTCATTATACCTCCCGATGAAAACATTCTTCATATCAAGTCTTTGTCCTGATACTGATGTCTTGAAAATGGTTGAACATCTTTGTCTTCTTATCAAGTGGTTTGTCTTCATCAAAACATAAGTTGATCCTTGAGAATCTTGATTTCACTAAGCAATTACAAAAAAATTTACATAACAACAATCAATTTTCAGCCGTAATGAGAACTGTTTCTTCTACTAGGGTGATGGCACGATCTTGACTGAAAATAAGCTTCATCTCTTTTTCAAAAATCAAAAGATCGCTAATTAAAATTGAATAAATAAAAATATTATAGAATGAAAAAAGTTTTGAAAAAAATAGTATTTTCATTGAGAAATAGATGAAATTTACATAAATAAATAGAAGAGGATTTTTAACTTCGGTCACCACTCAGTAGTTAATGGAAGTTATATGTGTGAGATTTTTTTTATGAGAGATGGAAGTTACTTTTTCAATTGGTGACCAACTAAAGTTATTAACCACTCAAGATTTTAAATTAAACTATATTTTTTGTTGATAAAAAAGATGAAGGGTAATTTTGGAACAAAAATAGGCTACTCCAAAAACTTGTACCCCCTTTATATATAGTTATATATTAAAAAAGAAAATTGTGTATTTTAAGATATATCTTGAAGATTTTTACTATACACCGTTTTTTTTTTGTTACAATATTTTTAAGTATGTTAGTAACAAGTTTTTTGATATTGTCAAACAAGGAAAGAACAACAACAGAATTTCATGAGATAGATCGCAAGAGCAGAACAATGTTTGATTGAAGTCGGTAAACAACAACAACAAAAACAACACACAACCTTGAAATATTTCCTAACTAATTAAGAAACCTTAAATATTTTTCTGTCTTGCAATTTATCTAAGAGAATATTGTTTAGGGGTTTGAGAGGCAGCAAATGTGTTAGGTTGTGTAAAAACTTAATGAACAGATGATTTTATAGGAACAAGTGAGTAATATTTCTCATTGGTTGTTAGGATAGTCGAATGAATAGAATAAAATAAAAATGAAATAAAACATAAACTGCAGTTGATAGAACTCGAAGTGTGTCCCTTAGTTACTTTATCTCTCGATTTTTTATTGCAACCGAGGAATAGTTCATTTTTTAAAATAAAAAAAGTAGTGCGCCTAGGGTTTATACTTTAGTTTTTGTTAGGTGAGATGAAAGTTTTGTCATAAAATGAATTACACTTAATTGGATTGATGTGTTGACTAGAATTCTAACCATGTTCTTGAAGGAGATAGTTAATGACTTGAGCGTTTTTCTTTGTAGCCTTGTAGAATATCATATGTGAAAAAGTATGCCTATGAATGATTGTCTTATCAATTGATATGCATGTTATTTTACCATAATATGCCAACATAAATACTTGTCTATTGAGTGCCTTTTCAACAATGCAAAAGAGCGAAGGAGATAGAGGATCTTCTTGCCACACTTCTCTAGAGCAAGAAAAAAAATCATGTAACTTTTCCATTTATCATAGTATCTTTGAGTGGAGAATGATAAGAATTTCATCACAAATTTTTTTATGTCTATATTTAAATACATACTACCTCAAAAGGATTTCTTGTCCAACATATTAATGACTTATGAAGGGATCTCAATGTACTCATTAATATGTATGTTTCTAATGAAGTCTCTTTGGTGTTCTGAAACAATTTTAGAAGATAAGATGACCAACCTATCCTAGTGATGATTTTGAATTGAAATTTTACGAGTGCAAGAGGTCCATACTATACAATAGAATATGCTCTATTTTATTCATGTATGAAATTTATATTAATTAAATTGAGATAAAGAAGGTTCCAACATAATTTATTCCTTATATTAATTACACGAGTCTATACTATATCCAACATTGTTCAAGAAATTTCATTTATGTTATTTTGAATTTGTAACAAATAATTAATTTTCTTAACATAATAAAAAGTATATATTAATAGCATACAAAACTAACATCAAGGCTAGGGATGTCAACGGGGCAGGGAATGCGCGGAAGATGCTTCTCCACTCCCCACCCCGCCCCCAATATTTTCCCCCACCCCCATCCCCACTGATAATCGGAGATCCACGGAGATCGAATCATTAAAAAAAAGTTATATATTTTTTTATCAAAACTATAACACTAGTGTTTGTTTTTTTTTTCCTTTTTATAAAACATATATTTTGCATTTTTTAATAAATAAAAACACATCTCGAATCAATAACAAACAAATGTAAAAGCACTTGCATTTACAAAAACATAATCATTAATTTATTAATTAAACAAAATCAGTTTGATATTCGAAGTATATTGATGTTGAAGAGTAATTATCATAAGAATAATAAACAAATGAGAGTCATTGTTTTGATGATGATGAAAATAGAGGAGATGAGGAATGGAGGAGACAAAGAGAATTGAGAAAAGAAGAAGAGGAAATGGTGTATACATTGTATGTATTGAGTGCACTTTTCTAGAATGAGGTACTTCAATGGTGAACCAATACATTACACAATAAAATAAAATAAATGATTTACTTATGACTCTTCATTTCCTAATATATTAATTATTTTTTTATAAAATAAACCTGTCAAATTATATAATTATATATTATATAATATAAAGTTAAATATTATGATCAGGGTCGGGGAATCCGTGGGGCGGAAGGTACTTCTCCAATCTCCATATTAAAGTGTTATTGGGGAAACTTTTCCCTCCATCCCCATCCTCGTGAGGGACAAAATCTTTGACTTCAGAATTCCAAACAAATAATTTTCATAAAAATTCCCGTCAACAAATATAAATTGACATCTCTTATCGAGACCTAATTATTTTAAAACTTTTCTTTAAAACTCTTTTCTTTACTCTAAAATATTAGATTCATTTCTAATCCGAAAGTCATGTGTTATTTATATAGTTGTCAAAAAAAATTGTTATATTGAAATATATTTAATAATTTAAATCAAACACTTATTAATATAATTTTCTTCAATCAATTATTCAATTTAAAAAAATATTTACAACCTTTACAACTTTTACCTTGTTAAAAATGTAATCATTATTTTAAAACAACAATCAAAGATAATATTAACATAATTTTACTAGCTTTTATAAGCACAGATATTAATATAATATTTTACATCTTTAAACATAAAAATATAGTGTCTGCATATCTTTTTCACCCTTATATATATTTTTTATAGAATCGATCAAAATTTTAAATTCTCATTCTCAATTATGTCAATTTTTTAAACTTTTACATAAAATCGTACTTAAACAAGAAAGACATACCCGTTTCTGACTCTTCACTTTTTCACTTCTTTATATTTAAGATGTATGAGTCTCAAATTTACAAAAAAATTCATTTGTTATTTTGAATTTGTAGCAAATAGTTAATTTTCTTAAACGTTTCTGACTCTTCACTTTTTCATTTCTTTATATTTAAGATGTATGAGTCTCAAATCTACAAGAAATTTCATTTATGTTATTTTGAATTTGTAGCAAATAGTTAATTTTCTTAATTTAATAAAATATATATCAGTAGCATACAAAACTAACACCAAGGCCTAGTTATTTTTAACTCTTTTCTTTACTATGAAATATTAGATGCATTCCTAATTTAAAAGTCATGTGTTACATAGTTGTCAAAATATTGTTATATTGAAACATATTCAATAATTTAAATCAAACACTTATATCAATGTAATTTTCTTTAAGCAATCATTAAATTTAAAGAAATATTTACAACTTTTACAACTTTTACTTTTTAAAAAAAATATAATCATTATTTTAATAAAAATGAAAATAATACATATTATCTATAAGAGTTAAATATAGCAAAATAAGCTAAACTATCACAATTGAGTAAACTAAAGTTTGAATTCTATGTGAGAGGTGTATCTAACTTAACTGAAAGTTACAAAAACTTTTAATATGTTGTGTAGCAAACTTTTAAAGAATGTGATTGTCACTACTAAATTAATTAAAATAAAATAAAATAATTTTTATAAATAATAATGAAAATTCACTACTTCATTTATACATGTGGAACATTTATTATGATAGCACTTTTGATGTATATCAAGTAACTCATTAATTTTTTCTCTTCAATTTTATCATTATTTTATTCAATAGTAATAAGGATAGTGAGAAGTGGACAAAAAAGTATTGTCAGATATTAAAGTTTTTATCTTTCTAAAGAGTAAAGGAATAAGAAAAAGGTTAAAAAGGGTAAAACTGAGAGAAGGGTAATATTGTCATTTCCAAAGGAAGTGTCATTCATAACTACAGAGTCATGAAAAAACATAGAATCATGTTATTCCCTCATTTTTACCCCTTCAAACTTTTTCCTGTCTCCATCCAAACCTACTGTCCAACTTTTCTTTCCTATTTCCTTCAAAGCCTAACCCTTCTCTCTCTCTCTCTCTCTCTCTCTCTCTCTCTCTCTCTCTCTCAAACACCAAGAATGAAGAATATTAATATAACCACTAACAAATGATGATGATGAAACAAGTTTGAGTTTGCTTCACTTTTTTAAGGAAAAAAACTACTCAGAAATCAAAGCTACTATAAAAACCATATCTATAGATATATAGATAGATATAAATATAGCTTTGAAAATCTTTCCAATTATATTGTTGAATGAACACTTCACAGTACTAATTCCATCAATCTCATCACATTCTCAATCTCAAAAAAATTCTTCTTCTTTCTGCTTCATCATTTTCAGGTAAAATATTCTCTATCCAAAAAAAAACAAAATCTCAAACATATCAATTAACCCTTTCACTCTTATCTCAGGAACCCTAAAGCAAGAGATAAATTCACAGAGTTCATAGCAATTAACCTTGGATCTGCAATGGATTCAATTCAACAATTTATTCAAACATGTAACAGTGAAAACACCTGCAACTTCATGAATACAATAAGCAGCAGCAACAACAACACAAGCTTAACGACGATGACGATAACAACAACAGCAAGTGGAAGCTCTTCTTCATCTGCAGCTTCAACCATAACCAACACACCGAACAGTAGCAGCCGGTATGAGAATCAGAAACGCCGTGACTGGAACACTTTTGGTCAGTACCTCAAGAATCATCGTCCTCCTCTTTCTCTATCTAGATGCAGCGGTGCACATGTGCTTGAATTTCTCAGGTGAACTGCATGCATCCATTTTTTCAATTGCGTAACAACTTTTTATGTTCCAGAAAATCACATCCTTACACAAGTTTTGATATTACAGAAAATCAGTCATATTTCACATCTTTGTGACAAAAAAAATCTTGATATGATATGACTACTCAGTTTGCAGTTACAGACCTTTTTTTATTATAGAAAAATCCTTCTCTCTTCTAAATATATAAAATTGCGGCGGCTATTGCGGTTACTGTGATGCAAATTGAGATTATATAATTGGTTGAAGTAATTATTGTTTGGTGTCTAGGTATTTGGATCAATTTGGGAAGACAAAAGTTCACACACCAATTTGTCCATTTTATGGCCATCCAAACCCTCCAGCACCATGTCCGTGTCCTCTAAGGCAAGCATGGGGAAGCCTAGATGCACTGATAGGCCGTCTTCGAGCCGCGTTCGAAGAAAATGGAGGAAAACCAGAAACAAATCCTTTTGGAGCTCGAGCTGTGAGGCTCTACCTTCGTGAAGTTCGCGATCTTCAATCGAAAGCAAGAGGGATTAGTTATGAGAAAAAGAAGAGAAAACGTCCACCACAACCACCACCACGGCCACAGCAACAAGTTCCACCAACACAAGGTGCAAGTGCAGCTCATTAGAGATCATCAAATTCCAAATTCTCAATTCTCTCTCACTTTCTTATCTTGAAGCTTTTTCTTATAAAATTTATAATTTTAGGGTTTTTTCTTTTGTTTAATAATATGTGAAAGCTGCTATGATCTGAAAAAACATATAGTGTTTTGTCTTTGGATCCTGTTTGGTTGCTGTACACAGAGATGAAAAAGTGTAATATAATGTGAGATATATCATTTATCTACTTTTAAAGATATTGCAGACTGTGCTGTGTTTGTGTACTGCTAGTAGAGTGGTAGTGGTCTGAAAAAGTTGAACCTAGTGAGAGTGAGAGTGGCAATGAATATACATGTAGTACAACGTCTTTGTGATTCTCACAATCACAACCATGGCATTATTCATATATATATTTCTATATCTTTTCATTTGTACAACTTACACTTGCAGCATATTGTATGCCTTTAATCATATACTATATATAATATATAATTCTTTTTTTGATGAGTTGAATTTAACTAAAATTGTTAGCAATTTGATGGGCCATAAATGGAATTTAAATTTGAATTATGAACCTACATTTTTAGTAAATAGTCACTTCCATATACATAAGGATGGATGTGGGTAATATTATTTGGGTTTGAATTTTTCACATATTTGTATATTTATAGGATATGATATGATAGAGGTTTTGTTTTAAAGCATATATAATATGATGATGATGATAGTAATAATTTCTGTTTGAAACTGACAAGCTTTATTGATTTCTCTTCACATTGAGACTAACAGTTGACTGTTAAGTTGCATTGATGATCATACAGATTCATGTGTGTAGCAGTAGTGGTGTCATTTCAATTTATCAAAAGGAAGTTGCCAAAAAATATTAATGGCAGACAGTGTAATTCATTCATAAATGACTAAACCTTCAATTATTAGTTTTTATTGCTAACTTCAATTATTACTAGTTTTTTTGTTAATTTAATTGATTGATTTTCTTTAATTTGATGTTAGTAACATGAAAAAATATGTCATGATCATTTTGTAAATCTTATATTGGGTTATGAGTATTTCTTTCAATGTAAACAATATCCACCATAATTGACGCCAATCTCAATTGCTCAATTATTTCTATGCGTATTTTCTAGCCAATCTTAATCATGGGAGTACTTATACTCTTTCTTCGTAAAAGCAATCTACTTGTTCAATGTAACTTCCACCACAATGGAGAACCCTATGTTACTTCCACCACAATGGAGAACCCTACTACAAAAGATGTTATTATTTCTGATATCCCAAAGTGATGACATATGCTTGAGTGCCAAATCAAGGCATTCCCTTAAGACCACTTACCTTAGACCCAAAACAAAAGAGGGTAAGAAGGAATAACGATTCGAAATTAAGAAGTCCTACTTTTGTTTAATGAGTAAAATATATTAATAATTCTAATACTTGACCATATGGCGTACTCAGGGATTAGAAAGATGCGTGGATATTAAACATGTAACTTTTTGTGTTAAGATTGTATTTGACAGTGTCAAAGTCTAGTTGAAGTTGTCAAAGAAATATACTTCGACAAAGTTCCACAGAGTCGAATTTATTAAGTGTGAGTCGAAGTTGTGGGCATTCGTTGGTAGTTGAAATGCATATTGTATTCAATCAAATAGAGTTAGTTAAAGAGATTACTTGTTGTACAAGAAATCTCAACTATAAATAGGGAGACACCTTCATTTGTAATGTACGCAACAATTCAGTTAGAATTAAATAAAAATTCTCTTCTTCCAAAATCCTAACTCTCTTTTTTTCTTCTAAAAAATCATTTCCCTTTAAACAATTTGTGCGGCGGAATCATCTTGCAATCGAGGAATGGTTGAATCGCTCGAGTGAAGAGTGAAGAACGAAAGACGCGATCAATAAAAAAGATTGATTCTTGGTCATCAAGATTGATTCAAATCTTCTCTAAGATTCAGGTTTAATTCCAACTCTGGTATCAGAGTTTGGTTGCATTTCTTGGGAAGTATAGAACAATGACTTCTCATTCGATTGGGCATTTTCCAGCAAATCTTCTCATCTTAAATGGCAAGAATTATGATAATTTGTGTAAGCATATGATGAGTTGTCTTCTGTTACCAAGACGTTTGTGATCTTGTGAAGAATGGAGTAACACCAATTGGCGAGAATTACACAGATGAACAAAAGGTTTCGCATATATAAAGATTTAAAGAAGAAAGATTATAAAGTTCTCTTTATAATTCATCAATGTTTTGATCTAAACAACTTTGAGAAAGTTGGTGTTGTAGACTCATTGAAGGAAGCATGGGACATCCTGTATAAATCATTTGAATGTCCTGAGAAGGTGAAAGATGTGAGGTTAAAAAATTACAAAAGAATGTATGAGTTTCTTCGGAAGGAAGAAAACAAAAGTATTACTTATTTCTTCACTAGAGAAACGAGACTAGTGAATCAAATCAAGATGTGTGTAGAAGTGTTAACATCAATATTAGTGGTTGCAAAGATCTTGAGGTTATTACTTCTAAAATTCGATCATGTTAGTAGTCATAGAAAAATCGAAGGATTTGTCAAGTATGACAAAAGAAGAGTTTCAAGGCACTACTACAACTAATGCTTATAACGTCACACACGAAAGAGATGTAACCTCGACTACCAAGCCAACGTAACAAAAGGTGACATGAAATGTTGTGACTTAACACCTCGATTAATGAAAAACCGAGAGGTAAAGTTATATGATCATGGGTTCGAACCGCAATATCTGCATTTTTTATTTACAAAAACAATGCCTCATACGTCGCGATTTATTTAAAAACCGAGGGGTTAGATAGTTTATTTTTAAAAAATAAAACTAGTTACATTGTTTACACAAAATATTATTAAATTAATTTATTTACAAACTACATTGTTTACACAGAATATTATATTATTTACACAAAATTTTAAAGTAAAAAAGTTGTTCTTCATTGTCATGGTTGTCGATGAAGAACAAATGTTGGATATCTTGGAGAAGAAAAAATGTTGAGATCCTCGTTTCATAGATCAAACGCAATATATTCTCTATGACTTGCATTCATTTGTTTCTGATATAAAACAAAACAAAAATTTAGCTAAATAAAATAAATATTTAGTTATATGATTATTTAAGAACACAAATCTTAAAACCATGATAATTTTCCGCACTTGCAATCCATCACATAAATCTTTGGCAAAGTAAATACACTCTTATGGTGCTCTATCTAAACATAGAGTTTCACAACTACGTTTCTTATGGATTAACTACTATCTGATTTAAATATTCAGAATGCTTTAAAGCCCAACTTAAAGAATTAGTCAAAACTAAATAAATTTTAAATAAATTTTAAACAAACTTAAAATCCTATTTATTTACTAAACATTAAAAATATTATAAAAAGAATAAAATCTTTTCTAATATTTTTAATTTTATGATTTTTGGATGTTTTTATGAATAATATGAAAAAAAGTGAAAAAATAATATTTTTTTAAAAAATAATTTAAATAAAATACGAAAATGATAATTAAATAATAAAAAAGAAAAAACATGTAAAGGTTAGAATAAAAATAAAAGAAAAAACAAAAAGTAAAGAAGATGGGATTCAAACTCTCAACCTCTCACACTCAATCTCTTGCCAATTGTGTCATTTTATTCATTCGAAATAAAGTGGCACTAGAAACCATGTAAAGGTAGGACAAATTTGGGGTGCAACACTTTTATAATGAGAATTGTAGGTTTCACAAGGATCACTAATGGCAGTGTCTTGAGCGTTGATAGTCATTAAATGGACGGTGAAAAAACAAAAAAAAAACGTTAATATGTTACCTCGGTTATTACTGAAAACTGAGGTGAAAAATCTTTGTTTTTTTTTTATATTTACATTGTTTACAAATCAAATCAAGAGTTTCATAATGGATTCTCGGAGAACAACCTAGAGGAGTTATGTGCTACAAACAAGGGAAATTTTTTTATATTTGCATTGTTTTCAGATTTCTAAGTTATCTGTTCCTACTAAGGGAATTTTTTTATGTACTTGCAATCCATCCCAGATTATATTGAGAAAATATTTTTATGTAAAATTCTTTCACGTGAGAAAAAAACATGAAAGAGAAATGGATGTGTGTGTTTAGTAATAAATTTCTCAATTTGTCAATTGAGGAAAGCAATATATTTCTCAATGTTTTCTTTGATTGACAACATATGAATATTACATAAATACAACAACATCAACACCATTATGTGAGATAGATTTCAAGGGAAGAAAAAAATATTTTGTTCATGATAGAAGAGAATTGAAGATTTTTTATGCCTTACAATCCATCCCAAAGAATGATGCTTGGGCGGCTTCATATAAGTAAGGATTAGGGTAAAATTTGTTTAACGAGTACTTTTATAAAACCGAATGGTTAGAACACTTTGTTTACACTTATAAACAAATAAAATCATAAATTGTGATAGTTGGGAAACAAATCTTGTATTGAGTTGTTTTTTCACCTCGGTCTTTTTGAAAATCGAGGGAATTTATGTTTTTTTCTTAATTGTTTTAAATAATAAAAAATAGTGTGCCTTGCCTTTACACCTCAGTTTTCTATTGTTTGAGGTGAAAGTTTCGTCATGAAAAGTCTTATTTATTGTAGTGAGGTACACTTGAATCTCATGAACAAAGAATAGAGGAAAGATCTGCAAGCAAGACAAAGAGTGATGCGGTTCTACAGGAACAATCATTTAAAGATGAGAAAGGCAAAGGAAAATGGAATAGAAGCAAAGGTAGAGGAGGCTAAAAAAATTTACTGATAGAGGAAACCAACAATAATGTAGGTCATCAAACCAGAGACAATATTCAAACCAAGGTAATCACATATGTGGTGTTGTAGTTAGAGGAAAAGGCGATGGAAGAAAATCTGACAAAATAAATATTCAGTGTTATAACTGTCATAAGTATGGATATTATGCAAGTCAATATCAAGGAGGTAGGAAAGAAGATCAAGAAAGTGATGCAAAATTTGC